TGACATATACAGAGGCTGATGCTCACAGCTAACCACTGAACTGATCAAGGGGTTCTCAATGGAGGAGTGAGAGAGAAGACTGAAGGAGCTGAAAGGGTTTGTGGGCCCCATGGGGAGAGGAACAATACCAACCAACCAGAGCTCCCAGGGTCTAAATCACCAGCCTGGGAGCACATAGGGAGGGACCCATGGCTCCAGCTATATATGTAGGGGAGGATGACAGTGTCAGGCATAGGTAGGTGAGGAAGTCCTTAGTCCAGTGAAGGCTGGACGCCCCAGTGTGGGGGAAATTGTGGATGGGGAAGTGGGAGGGTGGGTGGGGGCATATCCTCATAGAAGCAGGATGGGTGATGGGATAGAGGGTTCCTGGGTGGCCAGGGGAATGGGGAAAGGGAATTACATCTGAAATGTAAATAAAATATCCAATAAAAAAATTTAAAAGAAAAAGAATATGTGCTTCTCTTGCAGAATACCTGAGTTCGATTCTAAGCATCACAGTCGTGGCTCACTACTGCTTTTAACTCTAATTCCAGGTGATCCAATGTACTCTTCTGGACTCTTTGGGCACCAGGTATGCACATGGCATACACATTTACATGTAAGCACACATACATAAACATAAAATAATAAAGCTTAAGAAAAGAAAAGAACTACCCATTCTCATGCAAGCAGCTCTAACTGAGCACAATGGGACACACACACACATACAAACAAATTAGTAGATGTGTCTGAAAAAAGAAGTGTCACATCAGGAGACAGAGTAGGGATGAGGAAGGGTAATAGGAAATGAAAATGACTAGATTTGTTACTTAATGAATGAAAAACTGTTAAAGAATTTAGAGATTATTACAAGAAATCACACAATACTCCATTGACATGTGGAAATTCATGTTCTCATGTATCAGTCAATAATAAAATTAATGAGGAACTAGAGAGATGGCTTAGAACTTAGAATCATTCAGGTGATGCACAGACATGAAAGCAGGCAAAACAACCATACATATAAAATTACATGAAGATAAAAATAATTTTTAAAATGTTATTATGTCTGGTATAGCAGAACACATCTTTAATACTTGGAGGCAGATGCAGATGGATCCCTATGAGTTTTAAGACAGCCTGGTCTACCTACACAGTGAATTTCGGGCTAGCCAGGGCTATATACAGAAACCTGTATCAAACAGTTACTGCCAGGCATTGGCCAGACTCTGTCCTAAGGTTGCAAGGACAGCAGTGAATACCAAAGACAAGAAATCTGCCTTCATGGCAGTGGAAATGCTAAGTGTGTTGGAATAAGGTGATTTGTGTGCATATGTGCCTGTGTGCATGTGTGTATATGTGCATGCATGCTCATATAGTTTTTAAATAGTGGGAGCTAAAAGAGTATCATTGAGAAAATGACATTTGACAAACGTTTAGGAGTGAGGAAGCAGTTATGTAAGCAAAAAGGCAGTCCAAGTAGAAAGAATGTTAGGTATGAAGCATCTAAGAGACGAGGCAGTATTGGAGTTGGCAGGCTATGGAGTTGGATTGAGTGACAGCAAGAGTCATTATAAGATTTTAAATAGAAAAATGATACGCTCTGAGTCCTCTTTTTAAAATTAGTACATATTATCTATATAAAAGAGTAGGTTTCATTATGATATTTTTATGCAAAAATATTATAAAATGCAATCATATTCACCTTTCATTACCCTCTCAATCTCCTTATCTCAATCATCTCCTTATTGGTCCCAAATAGTCAAATCCCCCTACGCTATCAGACAAAATAAGACAAAATAATGCTAAAGAATACATTTTACAGCCAGGGATATAGTTCAGAGGTAGAGTGATTTCCTATCACATCTAAAGCTATGGGTTCAATTCCTAGTACTGTCAATTTTTTTTCAAAAATAAATTTGCATACATTGTGTGTACATGTGTGCATGTGTGTCTGTCTGTCTATCTGTCTGTCTGTCTGTCTGTGTGTTTCTGTCAAATACATATTGGATGTGTCTGTGCTTATTTGCGGAGGGAGGCCAGGTGCACAAGAATAGGCAGACCAGAGGTCACCCTGAAGTACTGTTCCTCAGAAGTGGTTCATCTTGCTCTTTTAAGACAGAGTAACTCACTGGTACACTGGGCTCCTGAACTAGGGCAGGCTGCTTGGTCAACAAGCCTCAGAAATCTGCCTCTCTCCACCTTCCTGGCATTGGAATTACAAGTACAAGCCATCTTGCCTGGCTTTTTATATGGGGCTGGGGCTAGAATTCAGGTCCTTATGCTTACCCAGCAAGCAGTTTACCAACTAAGCTATCTCATCAGACCCAAGAACAAATTTTATTGTCTACTTTTCCAAAACACTAAAATAGCATGTGGCGTAGTAATTTTGTATACAATATAAATGATATAATGACCTCTAAATGGTGATCTTAGTTTCACCTTCAAATTCCCGTAATTAGTTGTTTATGGGCCCAAATATAACTTAATGGTAGAAGAAAGGCAAATGAACTCTGCCTGACTAGTTAAAATGGGCCAGATATCAGTCTTCTCTTCCCTAAGGAGCTACTTGTTCCATCTATCTATCTATCTATCTATCTATCTATCTATCTATCTATCTATCTATCTATTTATCTATCTATCTATCTACCTATCTACCTACCTATCTATCTGATCTACATCTTTTTACTCACTCTATCAATGCAAATGTTACTATCCACTGGAGATATTCTATATGTAATCCCCAAGATGATGCATAATCAGCCAGCTAGGTATCACCTGATATGGACAACTTGACATGTAATATTAACCATCATCCTAGCTAAGAATATATGGTCCCTTATATGGACCATAACATGGTTACAGTAAGGATCATAAAATGGGTGATTATCTAAGATGATTCCAATAAGTCCTAAATAGGATTAATGGCTCCTCTTAAGAGAGATACAGAGAAGGATTTTACATTCATAGAAAAGAAGGTGGTGTAAAAATGAAAGATACTTAAGTATGCTCATAGCTATTGAAAATAACTTATGTCTTATCACCTTTCCTACAAAGGTCACTGGGTTTACTGATAAATTTGTTAAAGGCAATTTCAGCAAATCAGATCACAAAAGCAGGAGGATAGTAAACAGCTCAAGTATAGTCTGTCTGTCTCTCTCGTCTCTCTCTGTCTCTCTCTGTCTCTCTGTCTCCCTCTGTCTCTCTCTGTCTCTCTCTCTGTCTCTCTGTCTCTGTCTCTCTGTCTCTCTGTCTCTCTCTCTCTCTCTCTCTCTCTCTCTCTCTCTCTCTCTCTCTTACTTGCTCACTCGCTTGCTCTCACTCTTGCTCTATCTCTCTTGTGTATGATGTGCTGGGGGTGGGGGGAGTCAATATTGTTCTTCATTTACTTTGCATTTTGAGACAAGCGGTCTGATTAGGAGCTGGGGTTCACTAGTTAAGCTAGGCTGGCTGGCTCGTGAGCCCCAGGAATCTCCCTGTTTCCACCTCCACAAGGCTAGGATTATAAGCATGTGCCACCATCCCTGGTTTTCTGTTTTGCCTTGTTTTTCATGTCTAGAGATCAAAGTTTCAACCTTATGTTTATGCAGGAGGTCCTTTATCAATTGAACCATCTTCCACGCCTAGCCCCTAGATGATTCTTTACTATATAAGAAGAAAACAGTGAGTGGTCAAGAGTGAGTTTGGGGCTAGACAGATGTTTAATTGGCAAATGTTTGCTGTACAAACACAAAACCTGGGCTCAGATTCCTAGTACTTATTTATATAAAAAGTCATATATGGCAGCATATACCTTTTATCCCAGTGCTAGGAACACACACACACACACACACACACGCACACACACACACACACACACAAATTTTTCATTTTATTTGTAAACCTGAATCATGCATAGTCATCCATAGTAACACATGCTTATAACCTAGCATTCAGGAGGCAGAAGGGAGATTGATTTTGAGTTCTAGGCTAGTTGGCTAATCAGGCACTGTCTCCAATTTTTTTAAAGATTGCAGCAAGAGCAATAACTCATGGAGAGATGACTCAGGGCTTAAACAGCACTGGCTGCTGTTCCAGAGGACCTAGGTCAAATATCCAGCATCCACATGGAAGCACAAAAACATATATAACTCCAGTCTCAAGGGATCCAATGCTGTCTTCTGACTCCTCCAGGCACTATGCATACATGTAGTACACAGACATACATGCAGATGAAACACCCATGTATGTATGTATGTATATATGTTGAAAAATACACAAATAAAAGTGTTTAAAGGATCATGCTTATACATCAAATAGGAAACAATCAATGAAGAGAGAGAAAAAAATGGAATGATGACAGAGAAAGGAAAACTGCTAAACTGATACCCTTAAGCTGGCAAGAGCGAACAGGACCTTTATAAATGGAAGAGCTTGCCTTAGATGGGATATGGACAAGTTATGGTCATCAGACACTAGCAGAACCCAGGAACACAACAGATTAAAGTGGGGTCGTTGAAGAGGAAATGGAAGTTCCCAGAAATTCTCTCTCCATCACTTCCACTTGCTCAGTGAAATAGGAAGTAAGATCATGCAAAGTGGGTGAACCAATAAGGAGAAAGTTTTAGAGGCTGAAGGAGGAAGAAGGTATAAAATAATTTTCAAGACACTGAAAAACAGGAGATTAATATCATCACCAGATGACAAGTGCCAAAGGGTGTCAGTTCTTCTCCAGGCTTTGCAGCAGTAAGCTTATTTTTTAATATTTGCTAAAGATTAACAAAATGAGCACATCACTCATTTGACATACATATCTGATCTTTAATGAGCTTGGGCATCTAGTCAGATGATTAGCAACTGTATTTTTGCTTTTGTCAATTTTCTGATTCTGTTCTATACTCATTTTTCACTATTGAGGTATTAGTACTTTTCTTTGCCAGTTTGTATGATTTCTTAAGTTATTACCTTCATATTTTCATATTCAACCGGTATTATCAGAACTAATTTTTATCTGCATGTAAAATATAGTTTTACTTTATTTTAAGGGGAAAGTATGAGCATTGTCCCACACTAACATGAATTATGCAGTCAAGTTTCCCACATTTTGGGATATCACAGGAGTCAGCACATCCCAAGTACAACAGAGGAGGCATGCCCTGTGAAAACCACCTTCTTGATTGTGGTGTCTCCACAAGCATTGCTTATGAAATATTTAAAATCTAATGAAAGAGGGCACCAATGAACATGCCAAACTGCATGGAGAAAATCCCATGAGGCCTCAATCCTACACAAAGAACTACAGGCAAGTACTTCTAAAAGCTGGAAGTGGGAGAGGTGGCCCTCTCCAGGAAAAAGTATTCCAATTGGTTGTCCACTGTCAAACCATCAGCCCTGGAAACATATATACAAGTAACATTTATGAACTCATCAGGTTAAATATATATATATATATATATACACACACAAATACATGTATGCATGCAATAACAATTGATTTTTAAAGGGAGGAACATAAACATGAAGGAGAGTGGAAAGGATACATGGAAGAGTACAGAGAGAGGAAAGGGAAGGGCAAAGTGCTATAATTAAAATATAACCTCGGAAACAAACAAAAAAGTCATCTATTCTACTCCATCAAAATTCAATCAAAACTTGATGCCTCCTAATTGTACAGGGACAAAGTAAGGCACATTACCTTCAGTGATGCAAGAGGATGTTCTGGTCCCAAAAGGCTCCAATGAAAAGCAGCCAAGTCTTCATCTGGTAGAATGTGGTTACCTATAAAATACATTTCATTTATTTACTATACAAATGTGTGCATGGATCTTTTAGGTCATAAAGGAGAATCTCCTAGGAGAGGAAGCAGCTGAACAAAACATGAGCCTGTGTTCTTTTTATTTTATTTTTCAGACAGGATCTTACTAAGTAGCACTAGACTGAAACTCACTCTGTAGACCACAGGAGACACAAACCCACAGAGATCCACCTGCCTCTGATTCCCAAGTGCTGGGATTAAAGGCATGCACCATAATACCCAGTAGGCCTATATTCTTAATGTAATAACTAATTATAGTAGCTTTCTACGTGCTGATTTCCTACTCTGTACCCTGTGTGTTACATGTATCTCCTTTATACTGATCAAACCTCATAGTTGTCTCCCTATTTTATAGACAAGGAAACTGAGATTCAAACAAGTTTAGTGACCTGGCCCAAGATAGATCTATAGTAGAACAAAAAGTTAGGACTGTCTGACTCCCAAATACATGGTACTACCTATTACCATAAGTCATTGATAACTATTACATAGTTGTACTGCCTTTATTTTGCAATAGTAAATTACTAAAAAGTGCAAGGCACTTTACATATCTCACGCCGCTTTACCTCATGAATAACACTATGGTGTACCATGTATAGTACCATTTCTATTTCTGAGATGATGAAACTGAATCAAGGGAGGCATGACTTCAGTGATTTGCATAAAATGTAATTCTAAAACTTGGGCTGATTCAATTAGATTACCCAAAGTGATGTTCTTTGGGCTTTTAGGGCAGAGGTCACAAGTCTAGACTATTTATGTTCCTGCTGTCAATACTTGGAAAAACAGTTCAAAATATCATCAATTCTATAATTTACTTTGAAAGTAAAGCCTGAAAGTTGGGTGTAAAGATGCATGCCAGCAAACCCAGCACTAGGAAGGTTAACACAAGAGGATCTTATGAATGAAACCAGCCTAAGTGATACAGCGAAGCCCTGCTCAAAAACAAGAAAAAAGAAAAGAAAAAAAGGTAGGTGGGTGGATGGAAGAATGGATAGGTACATGTGAGACCAAGTGCTGTCTCGTGTTTTCCCAGAAAATGAAATTTTGCAGAATGTTGTTCAGAAATTTCCCTAATAAATAACAAAAACAGAGAAAAACATAGTTCACATTATCTTCCCAGTGTAAATCTAGGTTTTTGGAAAGAAATGGTAACAGCCTAAGTGGAGAAGCAATGCTATCTAGGACTAGTGAAACATAGGAGTCTGTGTCTCAGTTCCAGAACATAACAAAAGGGAAGTAGTATAAGAATTCAGATAATGTTCTGGAATATCACACAACAGTTCATAAGATGCTCTTATGTTCCTGAATTACATTTTTATGCTCCCATTCTCATCACAAATTAGTATGTTCATAACATACTGAGTTTTTCAGTATGCATCAAGTGTCTACTGCTTTTTCCACAGCCTTTTATGGTGTGAAAACTTTTTTTGTTTTTGGGACAGAGTCTTTCTTATATAGCTCAGGCTGGCCTTGATTATGTGGCCAAGGGTGGTCTTAAACTCCTGATCCTTCTGTTGCTACCTCCTGAGTGCTAGAATTACAGGTATGTTGTACCACACCCACATATGCAGTTCTAGAATTGAACACGGAGCCACATGCATGATAAATATACACACTACCCACTGGGCTACATCCCAAACCAGCATGAGGACTCTAAAAAGGCAAACCCAGCATTGACAGGCTAGATCTCCCCAGTCCACATATCTTATCAATGCAAGAAGAAACTTGGATCTCTGTTTTTGACTACCTACCAAGCAGTGCAGCAAATATGGGAAAATTCATTCGCTTCAAACCCAGCTGCTTTGCCACTTCCTGCATCAGGAACTGGTTAGTTGTGAGATTCTTGCCATTCCAGCTCAGCTTCAGTGCATGGGAACTGTAGTAAGACGGAATATTGTAGAGTGCATACTCAGAGTCATGAGCAAGAAGGCCATGAAAGCCATTCTCCCTGAAAAAAGCTACCACTTCCAGATGGTGGTCTTCAAGGCTCTGAAAAACCTAGGAGAGAAAAAGAGAGAATCTGTCATGACACAGAAATATACATATATAAAATAAAATTGTAAATCAGGAAGGTCAGCACCTAATTTATAAAGATAAAATTTAAGATTATCTGTGACCAAAGAGAACAAAACAAGCCAACCATATACCCTCTTAGAATATGATTATATCTATACATGTGGTTACTAACTGCCCAACCTTGAAGTCATGAAATCAACACACTATATATTAAGTGTTTATTTGAAACCATAACAGAGATTTTCACATGAAAAACACTAAAATCATTTGTTGCTCAGTAGCTATGAGCTGTACACATTCTACTTTCATAATCTTACCAGAACAATCATGGCAAGGTATATATGAATGAAGGTACTTAGAGGTGGAAATAGACAGAAATCTTAGTGCATGTATCAATTTTTAAAACATTTATTTATTTATTTTACGTGTATGCTGAACGTGTATGTACCAGTTCATGGAGGTGCCTATGCAAGTCAGAAGTCACTGGATGCCCTGAAACCCGAGTTATGAACAGTTGTTAACTGCTCGAAGTAGGTGAAAGAAACTGAATCCAGGTCCAACATACCACCACCGCCCTTTCATGGTTTTTGTTGTTCCTCCCATCTTTTAAGGAGAGGATACTTCTAAAAGGGAAGTTTCTAACAGTGTTCCCCAGAGGGAACCCACAGAGGTTATTTCTAACTGAAGAGGGTCAAAAACTTTACCCCATTTTTAAAAAAAGAGAAACTAGGCTATAAAAGGTTGGCTAGCCTCAAGCCTATGAGTGACACAAGATACAACTTAAGCTGAACTAATTCCAGAATATGTGCCACCGTTGCACCATACATCCTCCTAACAGCGCTATTTTTTATGGAAACAGAGACAGACTATTAAGTACCCTTGCTACACATGTTCTATTTGGTGTATTTGGAGCACAGCAAAGTCATTTATATACTGGCTCCACCAGACTAAGTTCTTTGACTACAGATACTTTATCTCAGCATTTCTGGCTCTACCATTACACCTGATGCATAGTAATATTAATGCCAGTGACTAACAGATCCTGACTCTGTACTATGTGCAAAGCAATGTTTCTTTATATTCTATATGCATTAATTCGTTTAGACTTTAAAATATTAATAGGTTATCTATCTCCAAAAGAAAGAGAAAACCAGACTTTGGTTCTACAGTCTATAGATCTTGATTTTTTTTAAGTCAACCGACCTATATGTTTGTTATTGTAGTTGCTGCTGCTGTTTTGACACAGGTCTCGCTATATAGTCCTGGCTCTCCCGGAACTCACTATGTAGATCAGGGCAGCCTCAATCCCATAGAGATCTACCTGCCTCTGCTTCCTGAGTGCTCACATTAAAGGCATACGTCATCATGCCTAGCTCAAATGATCTATCTTCCATTTAAGTTCTAAAGTAACAATAGTTTTCTAAAGTCTAATGGGAGCTTCAATACATTATGCTTTTGGTAGGATATAGAAAGAATTTAATCACTGTTGATACTCATATCACAGATGAGGTCACAAGGGCTAAAGCACTAATAAGCAGAAAGCAAAGCAAAGTTAGCAAAAAGTATACCATAGTTTACCTACAGACACAATTAACTCCAGGTGTGCCAAAGTAAGAGCAAGTGCTCCTAACTGAACCACCTCCTCACTTCATAAAGGACAAAACTTCGATGTGGAGGTTAAAACTCTTGTCTTAGGTCAAGGACAAAGGCTAGTTCACTCCAGAGCTCCATATAAGTTGCTAGTTCATCCATCAATCTTGTGCCAGGAGAGCACAAACTATGATCTAACCTCTTGCATCATCATAACCTGATTAGGCAGGCATTATAAATTCAATAATATAGATGAGGAAATTCAGACTTGGAAGACAGAGGTGTCATGCTCAGAGCCACAGACATAGAAAACAGCAGCCTGAGTCAGGCTGTCACTAACATCCGTGCTCTATGTATGACACATAACTTTCAGCCTGGCTGAAGCTGATTATATCATAGTCCAAGTGATTTCAACCCCCCAAAGCCAAGGACTAGTGATTATTGGGGAGAAGGACAAGGAGGAAAGATATATTGCTATATTGCCAAGGCTGGTCTCAAAGTCCTTGGCTCAAGTGATCTTCCTGTCTCTGTTTTCTGAGTAGCTAGGGCTGTAGTTTCACGTCACCTTACCAGGTGAATAACTAAAGACTTTCTGGGTGCATATGATAGTGTGGATTGAATGCAGAACTTTGCGAATGACAGACCTTTTAAACTGTTTGAGACAGGGTCTCACTAGTTGTCCAAGTAGGCATCAAAGTTAGGATTTTCTACACAATCAGATATAGCAGTAATAATGATCTTTAATCTGGTGGCTCTTCCAACTCTAGGAATATA